TCGTTGAGGGTACTGAGAAAGAAGAGGTTCGGATAGAGAAGGCGGATTTAAGCAAAGACAGGCAGTGCTTCAGCGTCCCCTCAGACCACCGCACGAAGAGGTATCTAGCCGGCCGCGAGAAAGAATTAGAGCTAGAACGAGGGGGGTTTCTTTGGGCTCGTTTCGCGATAGGAACTTGGGAGGGGATAGGTGGTCCCGAAATAGGCCCCAGAACGGGAAGAGACCCAGGCGAACGGTGATCCGTGCGGAAGGAACTGTTTATTTGAGTAAGGAAGCCTGGGTCGATTACGTCACTCACTTGGTCCTGGGTTGGTAACGTGCGGATCATTGGGAGGCACGAGCGGGTCCGATTTCGAGGCAGATCTTTGAGGTGGAACCCCTTAGACACTGCCCACCCATTGAGGTAAGGGTGACCTGCGCGTGAGACGAAGAGTACCCCCACGCCACGGGGTGCCTTAGGGCCATATTCCCGTCTTTCATTTTCCAAAAGATGAGCGGGAAGGAGGAGCGGTACGATAGGGTTGTGCGGTCCATAGTGCGAGAAAGAGGGTGGCAGCTCTCTGTTAGGTCGCTCCATTGGTACTACACCTATTGAGTGGATAACCCGGTACCATACGGGATCAAGGCATGCAGGATTCGTGCCGGAATCTTTAGGGAGTCTACCCGGGACCGCGAGGGAGGAAGGGACTACGGATACCAAAGAGTCGTCGGGGTGCCACAAAGAATGTTCTAAATGAATGATGTTCCATGATAGAGAGCAAGGATGCTTCTTAGAGTCCTCTTTAGAGGACCGTGAGGCCCTTAGGCTGGTCCCTAGCAACGGGGAAGTCCCTGATTGGGAAAGGATAGAAGTGGGGAGGTCCACGGTTAGTGGGGAATTCGTGTGGATAGAGTCCAAAGAAGTCGAAGGCCAAGGTCTTGGGCGGAGTCTTGAAGTAACCGCGGTTATTTTCATAGCACCGGAGGCTTGGGCGAAGCTTGTAGTACCCCTAATTCTGGGACAAGGGGGTGGGCTGGAAAAATTGTTGCGAGAGGCGAGAGAGGTGAGACGGGAGTGCATAAGTAGGGTTAGATAGCGATTTGCATTCGTGTCCGTGGAAAGGGAAAGGTTCGCAAGGGAAAGAGAGCTTCCGAAGTCAAGTTACCCGTTAAGTGTGAGGGTGTCATCTTACCTGTTCCCTAGAGCAAACGAGGGAAAGATAGTGTGTCTTCTAGAGAGGGGTAGGAGTTTGGGTCTTACCTTCAGGGCCCTGTGGATACTGTATACGCACTGCATTGATCGGGGTATTCTGCCGCGCAGGGGTATTTTCTGAAGACTAGGTTCTCTAGAAAAACCTTTCACTCTCTCTCCGGAAAAATATCGCAGGTGGGTCTTTAGAACGACAATAGCAGATGGTGAAGTTCATGCTCAGTGAAAACGGGATGGTAGAATCGATAGAGGCCAGTGACGCCGAAAAGGTTTTAGTTCCGGGAGACCCTCAAGTGACTCCTTATTGGATGAGCGTTGAGAAAGGGGGATTGATCAGAGAAGGGGCCTACGTGTGGATTCGAGCTCGAAGGCTCACTTGGAAGGAAGGTGTGGAAAGAGGGGGTCCACTCGACCTCGGTCGTTTCCTAGAGATTCGGGCTACCATTTTTTTCAGCGAAGAGGCGTGGACCGAAGTCTGGAGAGGTTTGGTGACCGGGGAATTTACGCATTTTTAATACCGAGAATCCGCGAGGCGGTTGGCAGACAACCTGGTGTTAGCTGACTACGAGGAAGGAACTTTCGAGTCGTGGTCGCTAGTGTCCTTCGCCGAGCCCGGAGAGGTCCCTCGCGCGTCCGAGGTCCTCCACGCTAACCTGCCCCAGTTCGTGGCCAGTTCGTTCCTAAGAGACCCGGAGGAGAAGGTAGTAGCGGTGCTTAAGGCGGCTCGAGAATCCGGAGTGCGGGCTAGGGGTTTGTTCTGGCTTTATACTCGGTGCGTGGACGCGAGAATCCCCCCAAGGAGTGAGTTATCCGCCATATTCGGGAGATTGAGAGAGTTCGAGGGACTCCAATCCCTCGTCGCAGACGTTCCGTACGCCCGCCTCTTCGGGGAAGAGCAGGTGTCTAACCGGCGGGGGTTCGAGGGCCGATGAGAATCTCACACCACTCACGTCTCTAATGTGGACTGAAAAGGTAGCTAGCGTGGTCCAACTTTTTTTTTTCCACAAGGCCAGCCGTCGGACTTCCACCAGAAATTCTGTCTCGGCGACAACTACCCAGTCCTCTCCCAATTCCGGGTTAAGCTCTGCACCCCCCTCAACCGTAACCTCGCTACCGTCTTCGTAGGTCTCAAATTCCCAACGAATCCTATTGGAGACGAACGAGGCTCTCATCCCCTCACCGCAGAGAAGGTCTATCGTGACCTCATCGAGGATAGCGATTGTGGCCGTTTCCAGTAGCTTGATTCTAGCTAAGGACCCAGGCCTAGCCCTCCTATCTTCCTCCCTGCACAGAGCGAGGATCCGGTGAACCTCTTCCCTTACTCTATCCAACCCCACAAGCTCCTCAAGGTCTGGCTCGGTCATCCCTTAACTTCCGTCGTCGACACGCAATTGTTATCCGAATCAAGTCGGAGGGGTCCAACCCTGCTAGCTCTCCTTCGCAGATCTTTCCTAAGTATCTCCACGATATCTTAGACTCCCTCGCGTGTTGACCCCACCCTTCGAAGGCGTAACCCAGGTCCTCTAGAGTCGACCAATCATCTCTATAGGGATCCCGAAAACACCAGGTTAACAAGGTATGAAGGTCCAATCCCGTGAACCTGAACTGTCTTAGGATGAAAACCCTTCTTTCTACCGCCCTTTTTACAGCCTCGGAGGGCCGGGAGGGGTAAACCCGCTCGAAAATGAAACGGGGGACCTCCACCGGCTCACAGGAGATGAACCGCAGTATTTCTTCCCATTGTTCTCAACCCCTATAGGTCGCTAGATATTCCTCGTCGCACCCTTCGTGAGGCCTCAACTCCTCCACTAATTCTCTTAGCCGGCCTCTCACGGCTCGAGCGTCTCAGAGAGGGTCCTGTCGAATCCGTAAGCTACGCGTTATCTCAACAAAGCCTTCCTTCGAAAGGAATATTCGGGCCTCTCCAACTACAACCCTCCCTTGGCGACTCACCGCAAATCGTATGAACGCCTTACCGCGCTGGATCTTCCCTTCTTCTCGCAGGATAGTCCTAGTCGGTTCAGTCAATCGGGCCCTAGGCAGAGTGACACAGACAACCTCTCCGGTATCCTCTACGGGTTTTATGGACGCCCAGAGAGTTCTCGGGATCCCCCTTGGAGGGAACCTTTGTTGGAAGTAGAAAGAAAATTCGAGGAGGATTCTAGGTATCTAGGAACGCCATTGACATCAAGGACACACCTTGTGGAGACCGATTTTGGGATAGAACGGGAGAGTACGAGGAGGCTTTGCGCCAGACTCTGAGAGGGGACAGGGAGACCGGTCGTGCTAAGTGCGAGGACTCATTGGTCGAGGCCGCCGCGAGGTTGGCAGGCGTGAGGTGAGGCTCCTATGATTAGATACGAAAGGGGGGACCCTTACGGTACCTAAGATAGGGTTTGGACGTGGGGAGGAAGATATGGAGTGACTCTCCTGAGAGTTAGAGGAGAAGGAGAGGTGACTACCGAGTTCTTCGAAATTTACGAGCAGGAGACAGTAGTCAGGTTCTCAGTAGCGTCCGAGGGGAACAGTTGCACGAGGAAGGCGGAATTTTTTTTGTCCCCTGACGCCCGGTTAATCCTCGCAACTTAATTAGCAGAAGGGAGAGATCCTCTAGGCATCGCCGAAAGGGCCCTAGAACGAGTGTAGAGGTTGAGAAGAATTGGCACCGGGAACCCCGTGATTGATAGGGTAGAGTACCGAGGGAGGTTGAAAGTTCCAAGGGCAGCCCACGGGAGAACTTGGAACGTCCCTACCTGGGCCTATCAACTACTCTATGCTGACGACGAGACCGTGAGGAGGGTCCGATTGAGGGGTCAAGTGATAGAAAAATTCCCACTGGGTGAAGAAGGAGGACACGAGCTATTCACCCAGTGCTGAGAGTCGAGAGAGGACACCGACTTCGAGTGGTGGGCGCGCGTTGGGGAGTTCATCAAGCCCCTGTTCTCCGGCCAGGCTGGTGATGTGGACCGTGATTTGATTAGGAGGTGTGCGCACGAGGGGATTAGGGGCATCTCGGACTTGGAGATCACAAATCTTGCATTGGCCGCTAGCGAGGAGAAGAAGCTGAGGGATTCTTGGTGGACGGTGACCAGCGAGGAGTCGGAAGGAGAGGGTGCTGGCGAGGATTCTAGTGAAGAGAAGAGGGGATCAGAGGAGGAAAAGAACTCAGAGGACAATGCAGAAAGTAGTGAGGGGGACGAGTCGGAAGGTAACACGGACGATAGTGAGGGAGGCGACTAGGAAAGGTGCATGGAGAGTGAAGTAGAGGCTGGTCTCTCTAGTCTACCTGAGACCACTGAAAGAAGGGGGGTAGTGAAGAGTCCCGAGTTGGGGGCCAGTCTAAGTAGGGTAGTGGAAGAAATGACGGAGGAAGTCGAGACGCTAGAAAAGGTCGAGGGGGGTTCGGAAATGGCTTCGGGGGAAAGACAAGCCTTGGAGGGGCAAAGGGCTAGCACGGAAGTGCGAGTGCACAGGGATGTGGTGCCACGGGTGCCGGTGAACGAAGGGGTCAATGAAGCCGCACGAGGCGTTCCGGTGGAATCCCGGTGGGCAGACCTAATGGATGTGGAAGCAAGGTTAGAGGAGGCGCGATCATTTCCTTGAGATAGACAAGGGTATCGACCACTTAGGAGGGAGGAAGAAGAGTGTCAGGACAGGAGGGACTTGAGAGAAGGAAGGTCAGCAGAAGCCGGTGGAAGGCCTCGGAGATGGGTCGAAAGGGTCCCGGAGGCCGTCACCGGTGAAAGGCAGGCCTTAGTGGGGCCAAGATTTGGCGTGGAGATGCGAATGCCTGCGTGAGAAGGGGCGATCGAGCGGGCAAGGGGCCTTCCTGTAGAGTCTCGGTGGGTGGATTTGCCTGACGCAAGAATGGGAGAAGCTCTCGAATTTCCAAGAGATAGGTTGGGTTACCGGCCACCCAGGAGAGAAGAGGAAGGGGGACCGAGTAGAAGGGACCTTAGAGACAAGAGGCCAGCGGAGGCAGGTAGTAGGCCACGAAGATGGGCCGTAAGAGAAACGGATGCTGCCTGGATTCCCGGCGAGATAACGGGCATAAATCAGGGGGTGGAGGCCTGGAGGAGCTTTAGGGAGCAGGGCCATGCTCGGTGGGAGGCAGATTGGCCGGATGAGCGGGGCGGCTACGAGGAGGACCCCTGGGAGCCTCCGAGACCTCGGGGCCGGGTAGAGGAGCCGGATCCCTCGAGGTACAAGCCGTACGATCCAGCAATCGATGGGCCAATGGAAGGTCCCTATTTTCGCCGATACGACGACCGACGAGTTCCTTATTACGACGTCAACCTGGGTCTGGAGACACTTTTCTTCAACGGGCGAGATGTGACTCGGTTCGTGGAGAAATGGGAAAGTTATGCTTACCGTAAGAGATTCTCTGAAAGGGAGTGGATCGACTATTTCATCCAACACTCGGACCCGGAGTTAGACCCCACGATTCGGGCTATCTACCCCTCAGACGGGCGGTGGAGGACCTTCAGGGCGAGCCTATTGCAGACTTTCACCTGTGATGACCTGATCCCGACCGTGGAGGGCTTGCGACGAATTACAAGGGGGGAACGGGAGAGTTTGGTGGCCTTCACTCGTAGGTTCAAGCGCCTGTCCCAAGCCCTAGTGGATAGGGGGATGCTGTCTGAAGTGGATAGGTGTGTGATGTTCATGCTGCACCTGCCCGAGGAGAAAAGGAAAGAGGTCCTTGAAAAGGCCCCGAGGGATTCTGCCAATTTCGAGAAAGTCGCCGAGGTGGTTTTCACAGGAGGAGGAGTAGATGTGAGGGAGTTACTGGGAGTATATGAAAGAGACCTTAGACATGGCACTCCGCAACATGCGAAGCACGCGGAACGATGGTCCAAGGGGGAGCGATAAACCGCCCCCGGGTCCACTTGTTCCCCGGTGGGGAGAACGGCCTACCGGATGGAGGAACGAATCAAGTAGCCAAGGAGGTTAGAGGAATGACTGGGAGATAGGGGGGAATCGTGGTTCCGATTGGGAGAGTTCCCATTGGAAGGATGCTAGGGACGGCAGGTGGGGAGACGCCCCTCAAGCAAGGGCCCTTGGGCCGCGACCGGAGGTAAGGGCGCCGCGGCAGCCACGCAAGGGGGGCTGCGTCCCAACAACCCACAAGCCCGAAGCGGGTGTGTCTACTGCAATGAAGAAAGTCACATCAAAAGGGACTGCCCTTATCTCACGGAGGCCCTAAGGTTGGGGGTGGTCAAGTTGAATGAGAACAAGTGGGTTGTGTGGGGAGATAGTGGAGAGGCGGTCTCCTTTTACCCATCAATGAAGGTGAACGTGGACAAGAGGATGGCCCTCCAGGAGGCTAGGCTGAGGAAGAAACCGAAAATCAGGACCTCCTCCAACTCAGCTCATATCCAAATGACGGAGTCGCAAGGGGGGGTGTCCATTAGGGAACCCCACGTGTCAAGCATTAAGTTCATAGAAACCCAGCTCGAGGAAGAGAGGCCTTGCCTAAGTGTGAGAACGCAGGTTGGAGCTGAGACGTCCGAGAGCCAAGCGAGTGTGACGGAAGGTACAGAAGTAAGGAACGACGACAATGAACAACCGATGGCCGATGCAAAAGCGGTGGAGGAAAAGAAGGAAGAGCCCACCTCACCCAAATCACCTAAAGAGAGGGGGCCCAAAAAGTTCGAAATGAAGTGCACTCTGGATGAGATAGACACGGTGGCCCTCCTTAGGAGGACCCTGATGCAGCCTATGCAGTGCACATTTTTGGAATATCTAGCCGCCAGCAAAAGCGCCACGGAAGAACTCCTAAGCATCACGAGGAAAGTAAGAGTCCCGCTCGCAGGGGGACCCACGGTGCCGGTGGAGGGTCCAGCCAAGGGAGAAGTACAAGCCTCCCACATTACCATGGAGGAACTACCTGCCAACTTCTTCTCGGGAGAAGAGGCCAAGAAATTCTATGTGTTAGGTAGCGGCCAGCTCCAGGCAGTGGTAAGTGGGAAGAAAATGAGGGCTCTAGTGGATAATGGTCCGAGCCTACGGTATGTAGGGACTCCATCGCACGGGAGCTGGGCCTGGAGATAGATCGAGGGGTGTCAATGTCAATGGTAGTAGCTGATAACAATCTGCAACCTGCGGAAGGGGTATGTCATAACCCCGTGATTGAAGTTGCGGGCGTGGAAGCCACGGTCCTAATCTTTTCAGTAAAAGAGTGCTCCTCGGAATTGATCCTCGGAAGGATCTGGCTGAGCGCAGTACACGCAACCACAGTTGATTTATCGGACGGAAGTTTGACCCTCTCGATCCAAAGTCCTAATGGAATCTGAGTGGTCCTAAAGACCGTAGACGCGCAAGATGAACGTAACCGGACCAGCATTGCTAGAAAGGGGAGCCAGTCAAGGGTGTGCTGAGTCCGTCCTGAGGAGGTGCCCTTGGCGGATAGGGGACCCAAGGGGGACCAATTGGAGGTCGAGGACGTGGGGGATAGGATTGTGATTAACGGTGTGGGGTACGAGAAGGAGGATGAGGAGGAAGAATTCGGTGGATGTGTGGGCATGTCTTTTTTGGAGGAATCCCGCTAGCCGGCGGAGTCAAGCAACATAAAACCGTGGCGGAGAAAGTAAAACCTAAGCCACAATATCGGAGGAGGAGATCGCCGATATCATCAGGAAAAGGAAAGAGACTGAAGGGCAAAGGATAACGACCGATAGGTTGGCCAAGATGGATATAGGGGATGGGAATCTCACGGAGAACGAGAAAGAGTTCATAGCCATGACCTTAAGGGGCTGCGATAAGACTATTGCCTTTGATGACTCGGAAAGAGGGAGAATCGACCCAAGCTATGCCAAGCCGGCCTGGATCCACATGGTCCCGTATGTGCCTTGGAAGGATAGGCCTCAGTGGAAGTACACACAAAAAGAGAACGAGGAGATAGTGGCGTTCATCAAGGAAAAGATCAGGACATTCGTCACGGAACCTTGCGAGAGTGCCTACTCCAATAAGTGGTTCTTTCTGAGGAAGGGGGGTAGCAACAAACTGAGATGGATTCAAAAGTTCCAAAGGACCAATGCGGTCACCATACGAGACGTGGGGTCTATACCTGAGGCCAACTTGCTAGCTGAAGGATCGGCAGGTCGCTCAATATACTTTATCTGCGATCTCTTCTCAGGGTATGACGAGATTCCCTTAGATTACCGAGACAGGCACATGACCGCCATGCATACGCCTTTAGGACTGGTTCAGATGATGGTGGTACAAATGGGTTGGACGAATGGGGTAGCGGTGTTCCAAAGGGCCATGATTGCAGTCCTAAAGGAGTTCATACCGGGGAAGGTAGAGGTCTTCCTTGATGACTTCCCGATAAAAGGGCCGGTCGAACAGGATGAGACGGAGGTCTTCCCGGGGGTGAGAAACTTCGTGGCCGACCACATGAGTGATGTCAGAAGTGTCCTTGAGAAGTTAGATGATGTCAACCTCACGGTGAGCGGAACTAAGAGTCGTTGGGGCGTGTCCTCCATCAAGATACTGGGGTTCATTTGCGATAAGGATGGGCGAAGACCCGACCTCGAAAAATTAGTAAAATTAATGATCTGGCCGTCACCGCTCGAGTCCATCACGGAAGTCCGACAATTTTTGGGGGTTGTGGGCTACTGGAGAATCTTCATAAAATCCTATGGAGAGAAAGTGGAACCCCTTAGAAGACTCCTTAGAAAATCAAAAGGATGGGTTTGGGGGGAAGCGCAGGAAGCAGCCATGGAAGCTTTGAAGGGGGAGTTCCGCGAAGGTGGAGAGGTCTTAGGAGTTCCGTTCTTCGAAGACGAGGGGAGTCGCCCGTTCATAGTGTCCACGGACGCTGGACCTCATTCAGTGGGAGGCCTCCTGTCACAAAAGGATGGAGAGGGGAAAGAGAGACCGTTGTGATTCGAAAGCCGGACCTTGCACCCCGCCGAGAGAAATTATAGCCAATTCAAAAAGGAGGTGTTAGGGGTACAGCATTGCCTAAAAGCTTTCCGTCACTACCTATACGGACGACGATTTCTCCTAAGGGTGGACCCGACAGCAGTGACCACTGTCCTCCAAAAAGATTTCTCGCTGACAGATCCGACCATCGCACGCTGGATGATTCATATTAGGCTTTACGACTACAGGGTCGAGAGGATATCAGGGACCAAGAACCAGGTCGCGGACGGATTGTCCCGGCTTCTCATTCATGAGGAGGACCTGCCTAGGCTTAAGGAGGAAGAAGTGACAATGGCCAAAGAGGAGATAATGAAAGTTGTCACTAATAGGGCGCAAATAGCGGGGAGCAGCCGAGGGGAAGATGGGGGCCCAAGGACTTTTCTCGCAAATCTCTACGACGCGAAGTACCGAGACATAGGACTGTACATGGCCGGTAGGGAAACAGGGACTGAAAGAATCCAGCAAGAGGCGCTAGGGTATTGCCTGCGGGGAGGTCATCTCTTCAAAAGGCCCACCAAGTTTGTGATACCCATGAGGGTGCTGTGCGATCCGGAGGAGAGAAGGGCGGTCATAGAGGAGTTACACGATGGGGGCATTGGAGGTCACAGGGGGGTGAAGGGTACTTTCGATAAGGTCCGTAGGCTTTATTGGTGGGACGGGCAATACACGAAAGTGGAAAAGTATTGTTTCGCATGTGAGGCTTGTCAGAAGAGGGCGACGGTTCGATACAAAGAACCCTTAGTTCCATCACTTCCCACAGTTCCGGGTGAAAAGGTCCACGTAGATTTGGTAACCATGCCGAAAGGGGTCGGCGGGCTACGGTATATAATCAACGCCCGGGATAACCTCACTGGATTCGTGGAGGCAAAGACCATTAAGAAGAAGACGGCAGAGAAGGTAAGTGAATTTCTCCTTGAATATATCGCGCGGTACGGGTGTGTTGGGAAAATAGTCATGAATAGGTGCGCAGAGTTCTTGAGCCAAAACGTCAAGGTATTACTGGAAAAGGCGGGGATCGGGGCAACCTATACGACCGCTTACCACCCCCAAAGCAATGCACCAGTCGAAAGGGGGCACCAGACGCTTGTGGACGCTCTGGCGAAATGGTGCAAAGGCCGTGCGGAACAGTGGCCGAGATACTTGCGGTATGTAGTTTGGGCCGATAATATCACAGTCAAGTCCAGTAAGGGATACCCTCCTTACACCCTTTGGTTCGGTAGGCATTGTCCCCTGCCCATCGAGTTCCACATTGACACCTGGACGAGTGTCTCATGGATGTGTCGAGCTTTTCTTTTTCTTCTTTGTGTGGGTTTCGATGTGTGCTTGCGTGTGAATGTGCTATTCCTGGGCGACTCGGTTTTTCGGGTCCTCGAACTGACTCTTCAATTTGGCCGAAGCAACGATCCGACCTACGATTGCAAGCGGGCCTACGCGAATTTCATATATTGGAATTTTGACGCCCAATGGAAACGGCGGCGGAATTTGGAGTGGGCCATAAAAGATTCAGAAAGGAGGAAGCAGAGAGGATCCCGGATTGACTACGAGGGGCGGTCGAATTACCCCACACCAGTTGATGCTAGGAGAGGAACGGAGACTCGGGACGATCACCAGCCGCGCGCAATGGCCAGCACTGCTGTAGCAGGCGGGGCCGCATAAACAACAAGAATCAAAAGGTCTGGGGTTTTTGCCAGGGTGGAGTGGTCAACGAAAAGCCAAGGTAGGGAGGATACGCGTGGCGTGGGGGTCAGAAGTTGCTTGTATTCCAGGCGTGGCCCACTACGGACGCTGGGAGATGTCCCTAGAAAGAGCTCGATCAACAGGCAACCTTGTGATAGGCGAGTATGAGCACCAAGAGGGACACCGACGGCAGGAGGAGCTAGTGATCGGACCAACCTTAATATTTTTTTCGATATGGCTGCGGGGTGAGACAGCCCTCGGAAAAACCTGGAGGAGGTACCAAGATCACAGAAAAGCCGGTAAGGTCCGCAATTCAATACGGAAGCATGCCGCTCCCGCCGTCAG